TTTCCAGTGGGGGGTGGGTGGGTGGAAACCCAGAGGGACAAAGGGTTCCCGCCTTATGCAAAAGATATATAAAGGGGGGGAAGAGAACAAAGGGGGAGAGGAGCCATCATGAAGAATCCCCTAGCTATCACCTGAGCTGGAACAAGAGCTGTACCAGGGGAAAGAATTGTGCCCAGGCCTGGAAGGTGTCCAGTCTGAGAAAAACTTACTGAAGCATCTCTGAGGGTGAGATTATCTGTATTTAGCTTGATTAGACATAGATTTGTGCATTTTATTTTATTTTGCTTGGTGACTTACTTTGTTCTGTCTGTTACTACTTGGAACCACTTAAATCCTATTTTCTGTATTTAATAAAATCACTTTTTATTTAGTAATTTACTCAGAGTATGTATTAATACCTGGGGGAGCAAACAGCTGTGCATATCTCTCTATCAGTGTTATAGAGGGCGAACAATTTATGAGTTTGCCCTGCATAAGCTTTATGCAGGGTAAAACGGATTTATTTGGGTTTAGACTCCATTGGGAGTTGGGCATCTGAGTGCTAAAGACAAGCACACTTCAGTGAGCTGTTTTCAGGTAAACTTGCAGCTTGGGGGCAAGTGATTCAGACCCTGGGTCTGTGTTGGAGCAGACAGGAGTGTCTGGCTCAGCAAGACAGGGTGCTGGAGTCCTGAGCTGGCAGGGAAAACAGGAGCAGAGGTAGTCTTTGCACACCTGGTGGCAGCTCCCAAGGGGGCTTCTGTGATCCAACCCATCACAAATCCAAACTAGAATTGCCAGGTGTTCGGTTTTTAGTCGAAAAGGGAACCTGGCAGTGTCTGGTCCGCACTGCTGACTGGACACTAAAAGTCTGATTACCTGCAGTAACCAGCCTCCACCACCGGGAGGTGGGAAGAGCAGCAGTTGCTGCTGGAGCCTGGAGGAGCAGTGAAGCACTCAGGGACGGTGCTGGTGGAGAGAGGTACTGGCGGCTCCCCATCTTGCCTGAGAGCGTCTCTCCCTCCCCCAGTCACCCCACCCCCACAGTGCAGCTCTCCCTGCCCTGTCCTGCCCCAGTCACCCCCCTCTTCCCTTGGAGCATGGCTCTCCCTCCCCTACCCCAGTCACCAACCCTACAGCCCGGCTCTGCTGGCAGGGGGAGGGTGGTGGAGAGAACAGTGAGCAACAGTGGGGCGGGGGGGAGAGGAATGGGGGGGCAGGGTCTTGAGGGAAAGAGGTGGAGCAAGGGGCGGGGCCTCAGGGGAAGAGGCAGAGCAGGGGGCCGGGGAGGTTCCCAGTTTTCACACAGTTTTCCAGTGAGGCATAGTGAGAGACTCAGATGGGTCACACGGGAAGCCAGTGTCAGAGCAGTGAATTGAACATAGCCTAGGACTAGGCACTCTATCACCCTAAGCACTGGACCATCCTTCCTCTCAATTTTCTCTCTCGTGAGACTGAGTAAAGTGAGGCAGAATCTGGCCCAAACCAAGAGGATCTTCTGCCACCCAAAGTATACACAGACATGAAATTAAACGAGGGTATATATATGAAGCACTGCAAATTACAAACATGAGATCCTCAAGTTACTTTTGCAGTCTCTGAATGTGCCAGGTGTTCTTAATTAAGGACCATATTTTGATCCCTTTAATCATGTTAAATAATACTTTATTCTACCTCTGAAATCAGTGGAACTACTTGTGACATGAGTAGTGTCAACTACTGTGTGACCAGAATCTGGCCGTAAATGTGGATAATAATTTTCATTTTATTGCCCAGTATGAAAAATCTGTACTACACATACATGCTCTCCAAAGAAGTGTACACATTCACATTCCAACCAAATGTTAGTCTCCTAAAATTAGCTCTTATTTAGAAGTCATGGAAACAAAAATAAAATACATCTGTTGACAAGCCCAAAAACTAGGAGCAGTGTGTGTAAAAATCCTTTCCCTTGTTTTTCCTTTTACACTGTAAAATACATGAAGAAAGACAAAAATTCCTTTTAAAATAAATGTTTTTGTAAGGCAGTTGTAATGTTCATTTTAAAATGTACACATGAAAGAGTCATGAGAAAATTAGTCAAGAGTTCTGACAATTTATGTTGATAATAACTTGCTCATTTATCATCTCATATCCCAAAAGGACATTCATAGCTCTTTACAGATTACAATACATAGAGTGTGGTGGAACCAAGTGATCATTTGGGCTTTTGTTTTAACATGCATCTGTATGAAAACTAAGGCCTAACAGGCAAAGATTTGCTCTCATCAACCTGAGCATGGAGCCTGAATTAACATCTCATCTCTGCCCTGGAGATCTGAAGCAGATTGATAGGGTGGAGTAAAGAAGCTTGCATAGCCACAACTCATGCTGCAACTCTTACCTGTATAAAGAAAGCACTTAATTCTCCAGGATTGTCAATGCCACAATTTTCATGAGCATTAGATTCACTATCTTCTTTTTCTTTTCTTTTTTAAACACCAATCTTGATTAGCACCCTATTTAGTGCTCAAGTCACAACCCAGCTGGTAGAAGTAGAAAATAAAGGTTGCTCACCTGTGACAGGAGCAGACATGCCAAACCCGTGAAAAAAATGCAGAAATTGGGCTTATTTTTGGCTTAATTGGCTTGTGAGTTGCTTGTTGGCTAGTTTTTGGCTTGTAGCTTGTAGCACGTTGTTCTTTTTTTTTTTTTTTGTATCGACTCCTATCAAGCAGGGGCAAGGCGGGAAGAGAGTCAGGGGTGCACAGCCAGCCCACCACAGTCCCAGACTGCAGGCCAAGGGGATCTAGTCAATGAATAGAACCTCTCTAAATCTGTCAGTCCTATGGCTTAAGTTGGCAGGTACAGTGATGAGGGTCTGGGTGATAAATTTGGGTATTTTGCTGAGACAGCAGGGCTGTGGTCACAGGAAGAGGTTGATATGCTGCCCTGGAAAGATGAAGGCGGTCTAGAAACCATTCTGTCTCACTCGTGCTGGGGCAATCACAGTTATTTTGGCTTCATCTTGCTTTATCTTACATATTACTCTTTGTATGAGAGGAAATGGGGGAAGGTGAAGAGGAGACCTATTCATCAGTTAAGTAGGAAAGCATCCAAAATGGACTGACTGTCTGCTCCTTCTGTCAAGCAGAACTTTGGCCATCTGGCATTGTGCCTTGTTGCAAACAGATCTATTTCTGGATTACACCACAAGCAAAGATCTCATGCATCCCAGAAGTATTTAGAGACCATTCATGTAGTTCTCTCCTATCCTGTTGAGTTGATCTGTTAGGGCAGGGGTCGGCCACGTTTGGCACGCAGCTCGCCAGGGTAAGCAGGAAGCTGTTGGTGCTAATAGTGGCATCTGTGTGAAATACAAAGATGAGGATGAAGAAGGGTATTGCTGTCTATGACATTAAAGACAGGAGCTTCAAACCTTCTCCTTGAGGGTTGATAAACCCCTAGCGACATAGCTGTTGATCATCTTCTCTAGTACTTCATTCATCCTTGCACTGAACAAATCATTACCTTCAAATGGAAGATTTTCCACATGTGCTCTGGTTTCAGGTGGAAGACCAGAAGATCTAAGCCATGCATGTCTTCTCAGTGTGATGATTGAAGTCAAAGCCCTTGCTGTAGCATCTGATGAATCACGAGAGGCTCTCAATCTGTGATTAGTTAATAGCTGTCCTTCTGCTATAAAGACTTTTAGTCAATTTCCTTGCTCTTCAGACAGATCCTTAGCAAATAAGGCCATTTTCCCTCGGAGATGGTACTGATACTTAGACATTATGGTTTGGTCATTAGCAACCCTAATGCCTACTGAGGCTGAGGAGAAAACTTTCCTGCCCCAAGTCTCCAAGTTTTTGACCTCTCTGTCACATGGTGTAGAATGCCTTTTGTTCTCTGATCTTCTGCAGTGACCAGCAGTGAACTGGGAACTGGGAGTGTGTGGAAAAAAGAAAATCCTTTGTACCATAACTGATAGAACTTGTCACAGTCTTCTTTGACCTGGCCTGATTAGAGGCAGGGTTTGCCCAAATAGATTTGGCTGGTTGTAACAATCTTTCTAAAACTGGGAATGTGATTTTGTTGTTAGAAGGGGACCCCAAACATCATATGAGAGGT